TCTCTGTGTGTGTGTGTGTGTGTGTGTGTGTGTGTGTGTGTGTGTGTGTGTGTGTGTGTGTGTGTGTGTGTGTGTGTGTGTGTGTGTGTGTGATCTTGAGGTGTGACGGCGCCCTCGAGGGTGCTGTACTTGCGGAAGGAAAGAAAATGCGCTGTGTGGCTGGCTCATCACATCATTTCACGCAGCTTTGCTTGGTGTGGGCTTGGCGTTTGCTTGCAGCTTCGCGCCCTCCCGATGTTGTTTCTGTTCCAGTGCATGTTGACCCTCAGTGCGGTGTGGGAGTTTGTGTGCTTTCGCCACCACCCCTCTCAGTGGGACAGACACACACACACACACGCACAACACAACACAACACAACACACACACGCACACACACACACACAACACACGCACACGCACGCACACACACACACACACACACACACACACACACACACACACACACACAGACACACACACACACACAACACTCATTCGCACGTGTGTGTTGCTGCGCAACGATACCCGCACCAAGCGTCGGCAACCACCAGGCATGATGTGATGGTGTGGGCGGCATATCAATATGTTCGTTCACTGTGTGGGACTGTTGTCTCCACCAAGAAGGACAGCACGTAGCTTGCAGCTTCGCCACCTTTGCCGTGTGTGGGAACGGCGTCACATCATGCCACACATCATACACAACTCACCAATTCACACTTCACACAACACACAACAACAAACCACATGCGCGTCACTCTGAAGACTGGCGGTAAACATCTTCTCATGCCTCTCAAAACACACCACAACGCGGGAACATGGGCCAAACGCGCTTGCAACGCGCCCAAACTCGGCACATCGGAGCGCCGAATATTCGACCGCTTGCGACACCATGTGCTGCTTGCTGTGAAGAATATCTGCGGTACCTCCAGCAATTATCGCACCAACAAAAGGAAAGCAAACGAAGAAGAAGGACAGCAGACCAATCAACCAACCAACACAACAAGCAACAAAGCAAGCAAAGGCGCACAAAGACACAACGCAACAAGACAGGCACATATCAGCACATAAGCACCACACACACACACACACACACCCAAAGAGCATGCAGACACACGCACCTGTGATGACACGCGCTCTGTTCCTGACGGTGGCCGTGGCCGTCCTGGCCGCGTCGCTCGGCTTGCGCAAGGGCACAGGGGTTGCCCTTGCTGCGGGACAAGACAACGACCGCAGCAGCGACCCAGAGTATGTGCTGGACGTGATGAACCGAACCTACTTCTATGGCGTGACACGGCCCATGGTGGAGCGGCTGTTGAACCGCAGCGGCATCCCACACTTGATTGACATTCTCGATATGGGTGACGGTTTTGCGCACCAAGACAACACAGTCGTGTTCCTTGGCTACCTTTCCAACGACTCCGACAGCGGCGTGGACGCGTTGCGCGACTATTGGACCGGGTTTTCCACGGCTGCCACCCCGGCCGCACGGCGCTCGGCACTGCTTATTCCGCATGCGCTCGGCCTGATGATACAGCTGCGTCAGTCCGCCAAAGCGCGCGCGTTTGCCCTGGAGCTGCTGGCAGACCTCAACCTGCCGCTTGTCAGCCCCATTCACCGCATTCTGCCGAAGCTCTCCTCGCGGCGCGAAGAACAGGTGGAGGCTGCCGTGGCCTTGGTCAAGCAGCTCGTGCGCGGCCTGGCGTTTGACAACAACAGCGTTGCCATGACTGGTATTGAACGCGTCCGCACGGGTGTGAACGGCCTTCCCGGCAACAGCGACTTGGCAGAGGTGCTGCGAGACATCTCCACAGCCCTGGAGCGTGAAGTGGAGGACGGCATTCATCGAGACCTGGATAATCAACACGGTACCATGCGTGTGTATGTGTGTCTGTATCTGTATGTGTGTCTGTGTCTGTGTGTATGTGTGTATGTGCTTTTATGTGTGTATGTGTGTATGTGCTTTTGTGTGCGTATGTGTGTGCTTTTGTGTGCGTATGTGTGTGTTTACACCTGCGCGTGTGTTTGCAGCTGTGTGCGCATGTACAGCTGTGCGCGTAACTATGTGTGTAGTTGCGCTGGTGTATGTGCGTGTTTACGACTGCGTGCTGCCTGGACGGCACGCACTTGTTTCCAAGTTGCTGTGCTCCCCCCCCACACACACATTTCCCAGCACCTATTCCCCTGCCTGCGTCTGCGTCTGCCTGCGTCTGCTTCTTCTTGTGTTTCTCTTCTGTCCAAAGTCTGCATGCTGCCTTCACGCACTCCGCTTTTCGCGTATCCCGGGTCCCCACTCACATCCTTTCGTCCCTTTGCTTTGAACAGACTACGGGGACGGGTTCTTCTCATTTTCGCCACGCGAGCGCAACGACGAGGCCTTGATCAACATCGGTGACGATGACACGGACGACAGCGAGGGTGAGTGCCAGCGTGCACGCAAGATGTCTTGTGCTGTGTTTTGAGTCCACGCGGAATGACACCATGAGCCATCCGCACACCGCCTTGAAGCGAACTGAGAGATGGAACACACACAGTGCAAGAAATACACACAACACTACGAGCAAGCACACTCATCTATGCACATATACATGCACACCCACCCACGCAAGCACACACAACTACACACATCCACACACACACACACACGCACACAACCACACACGCACACACACACATACACACAATCAAACATACACACACACACACGCACACACACACAAACACGCACACACACACAAACACACACACACACACAAACAAACATACACACACACAAACAAACATACACAAACAAACACAACTACACACGCACACATGCAAGCTCACGATGTTTCTCGCCTCACCAGCGGTACTCGCCATTCAGATGACGTGGTGCCAGCACCGCGCCATCTCCGACCCCTTCACAAGCGAGCTCGTCACAAACATTGCGGACGAAATGTCCGCCATCACCATTGGCGCGCAGGCCTCCTTTGACACCGCGTGCTGCGTGGGGTTCCAGAATGGGGGGCAAGGCAGCCCCTTTGGGTACGAGGGCGACGGGCTAAGTGTCGTCGATAACCAACAAGAGGCCGACAACGTCTTCAACCGCAACTGTGGTCGAGTCAAGGTATGTGCTGTATGCTTGTGACTTGCCTTGTGTTTGTGTTTGTGTTTGTTTGGGATGCAACACAGCGCAATGCACGTCGAATCACCTGCGATGCGCCACCGCCGAGCACACGCTGCTTTCTTTCAAGCTTCTTGCCGTTGTTTCACTCACGCACCAGCGATACTTTTGACACTCATGACACACTCATACGCACATACACACACACATATACACACACAAAGGCGATCAATGCGCTAAACTACTGTGGCCAACCGGCCTCCAACGTCATTGGCTGTGCGCCCGTTGGCGGCGACACGCAGATCCTTGTCCGCCTCGCAAACTACGAGCGCGATGCACGGCTCTGGCTCCATGAGGTGGTGACGTGTTATTCTGCATGCATTTTGTTTCATGTGTGTGTGTGTATGTGTATGTGTGTGTGTGTGTTTCGCCACCCCCCTCCCTTTGCACATCTTGCCTACATGCATTTCTTCCTTCGTGCCGAAGTTTCCCTTTGGAGCTCTCATGCCGTCTCACCCCATCTCTCTTCCTCCTTACTGTTCCACAATTCAACAGACTGGCCACAATGTCGGCCTTGAGCACAACTCGATGAGCAAAGACTTTGTCATGTACCCCACCCTCACCGGCGACTCAAATGGTACATGCACTGGTATACATGTCTTGCTATTCTCCTGTTGGTCAAGTGACATCACCCTCCCACCTCTAACATCCCTTCACCTCTTACCTCTCCAGTTTGTCTCACTCACTCATCTCCCTCACTCTCACCCACCTTGTATAACTCTCTCACACCCCCCCCCCCCTCTCTCCTCACCACCACCACATCCAGACAATTTTGCGCTGACGAGCGAAGAGTGCGGTGCATTCACGTACCCGCCGCCATCTGCAAAGGTGACGAAACAACCAGCAGAGAACCTGACGTGCGATGCAAACGCAACAGCGCCGCCCAACGACAACAACAACAGCGACGGAAGCGGCGGCCTCAACACCACCACATCCTGGGTCATCTTCGGTATTGGCATGGCCATCCTCGTCGCTGGCATCGCGCTCGCCGGGCTCATGTGGAACGACAAGCGCCAGCAGCCGCCGCCACCCATCCACTCCGAGGTCTGATCAAAGCACACGCCACAGCAACCAAGCAACCAAGCAACCAAGCAAGCATCGGGAACAACTGCAGCTTTGAGGCAACATGGCATGACATGATGCCTTCTCTGCTCCTATTCCCCTTGTGTTTGTGTAGTTACATGGGGTTTGTGTCGCTTGCTGTCGTGGAGTGTGATTTGTTACAACCCACTCCGCTCGCAACTGTGGTGCACAATCTTAAGTCTGTTGACCCACATTTGTTTTTCATGCCCTCCCTCCCCTTTATGTGAGCATTCAACTGTGCTGTTTGATGTGTGTCTTGTTGGCGGACACGTGTGTGGACACCATGTGAGAGCACGCACACACATCAAAGTAATACTGACAACTGTCGTCCAACAGCGCACACAACTCAAATCACTTGAATGGAAAACTCACGATGTCGATGAGCGAGAAGGGGGTGCTGCATTGAGACGATGAAGAGAGAACCAGCCACAAGAGGAGATTCGTGTTTGTTGCAGCATCATAGATGCCTTCCCTCACCCACCCTGTCTACCAGACGGTTCATCCAAACGCAATGCCTCTCATTACGAACAGGAGCTTCGTTTGTGATCCAACTTATTTCTTGTTCGTCATTCACAGAGCCGGAGTGCTGGGGTGGCAAACCACACCACCGCTGCACAGCAGACAGAGAGACAAGGGGGTTGATCGAGCGCTCTCGTTCCGCCACGTACAAATCAACAGGAAGGGCAAATCAACCATTAGCATGCAGGCATGCTCACGACAACACAACCAAAAAAAAAAAAACATGCAGGTAAGGCAGCAAACCAAGCCACTTTACCACAGTGACCTGCAACTCAGACAGCATCACACAGACTACCACATGAATCAGAGCAATCATACGAGACAAGCGCCAAAACGAACAAAAAACAACGATACGAGAAGTGCGCAAACACAAGCAACAGAAGCACATACACACGCGGTCGCAATTACAAACAAATACGACATTGTGTTTCTGAGCCATCAAAGGTGCACGCGTCGAATGCGACGATTCTGCTGGTCCACAAACACAATTGCGCGTTCGCCAATGTCGTAGGCGACGCTGACGGGTGAGCGGAACTTGGTGGCGGTTGGATCGTTCCCGTCGCCGTTGAAGCCTCGACTGCCCGTGCCTGCAAGCACGGTCACCGGGGAATCATCGCCGTTCAAGCTCACAGACCGCAGCACGTGCTTGTTTGTGTCTGCAATGACCAGCGTGGTGCCCTCTGCATTGACAGCAACGCCTTCAGGGTGGTCCAGATTCGTCTCAAGCGCAGCAGTGGTCGTGCTGCCGTCCACATCACCGCCGTAGCGGCCCGTGCCAACCAATGTGTCGATGATGTTGTCGCTGTCCAGATCAACGTAGCGGATGCGGTTGTTGCCCGTGTCAGCAATGTACAAATCACCCGCACCGCGAACAGCAATGCCCGTGGGCGCGTTGAGCCACGCGGTTGTGGCTGGGCGGCCGTCACCGTGGTATCCTTTGCGGAAGGGCGTGCCAGCAACGACGTCAATCACAAGGGAGCGTCGGTCCACACCGTACACAACATGGTTCTCCGTGTCGGCAATGTACAGCGTGCCGCGGCTGTCGAACGCAAGGCCATGCGGGGAGTGGATCTGCGCCGCGCGACTTGAGCCGCCCATGCCACGATGGCCGGCCTCGCCCGTGCCGACAAACACAGACAGGACGCCCGTGCTTGCGTCCACGACGCTGACACGGTGGTTGCCCTTCTCCGAGATGTACACGTTGCCGATGGTGTCGACGGCCACGCACGTGGGGCGGTCCAGCTGCGCAGCTGTGGCCAGGCCGCCAACGCCAGCGGACCCGCGGGTCTTGGTGCCGGCGATGGTGGTGATGGTGCTGCCGTCACGCGAGATGCTCACGACGCGGTGGCGGATGGCAATGTACGTGGCGCCCGTCACGTCCACGGCAACGCACTCGGCCTGGTTGAGGCCCGTTGCTGTGGGGTCACTCGACCCCGTCCAGTCCACCAGGCCGTTGCCGGCGATGGTTTCCACAGTGCCGGTCACCTGTGTGGTGAAAGTGACTTCTGTCGTCGTCGTCACAGTGGTAGCGGTTGAGCGGGTGCTTGCCTCAAAGCACAGGCACACCTGCCAACAGTGTGCGTGTGAGTGTGTATGCGCGCGCGTGTGCGTGTGAGCGTGTGTGTGCATATGTGTGTACATGTGTGTTTTGTGGTGAAATGAGAGGATGCTTTAAGGGCTGCAGTTGCCACGGTGCTTGTAGTCTGATCCTGGCCGTCGGTGTACCCGTACAGTCATGGCCACACAAGATCACATCAAGCATACACACATGCACACGCACAACATTACACATTCAAACCCACACCCACCCACATACACACGCACACAACACGTGACGTACATTGCGGCAGCCCTCGTGCTCCTCGAAGAAAGAGGCGTCCAGTCCTTGTGATGCACAATGCGCTGAACAGTCATCCTCTTCTTGAGTAATCTCGAAGCGTTTCCTGCACCCGCACGTGCACACCTGCAATTGACCAAGTTACATGCACACGCGTTGCACGTGCACATTGGACGATGTAAGCAGCATGTGTACATTTGCAGCATTGCTGTGGCGTGGGACGCATGGCCTGCACACCAGCTTCTTCTCTTCTGTGTTACCGCTGCATGCTACATGAATGCGCGTGAATGTACGTGAATGCATGAAAGTGTGCACGTGCGCGTGTACACTTGTACGTGTGCGTGAAACCTCACCCGCGTGCAGCCGCCGTAGGTGGCCATGAAAGTCGAGTCCTCGTTGTTACGCTCACAACGTTCGCGGCACGTGGCCGGATTGAGGGAACGGCTCAGGCCTTCACACGCGTTGACGGTTGTGGGTGATCCAGTCGTGGAGATGGCTGGAGGTCGAGGAAAGAAACACGGCAAGATGGCAACACGGAAGACGTGTGAGACTGACGCAACAGAAGTGAAACACGTGACACGCCCGCACATGAACTGCGCTGAGGTTGTGATATGATATGATGCAGTCACCATGCATGTAGGAATGCTGGTCACAAGAACATTACAACATGCTGCAGGATCGGGCGGATGAGACAACAACAATAAAAGAACATTGTCAACAGTCCTCAACTCACGTTGGCAGGTCTTTGCGACGCCAGACCACTCTGCTCGGCCGTTGGTGATGGAGCATGTGCGGGACGTGTCGCCAGAGGCGGACAGCTCATACCCATAGTTGCAGCTCTCGTACGTGCACGTGTCACCTGTGCGTTTATGTGTGCGTTTGGGTGTGTGACTCTAACGTGTGCATGTCACGTTCCCTCCTCACACACATGCACACACACAAAAGGAAGTTGCAGTGAACAGCATTGACTATTACGGAGAGCACAGTAGCACGTACGCTCGCACACATACACACGCACGCGCACATACCTTTAGCACCAGAGCACGTGCCAGACGTCGCGCCATTTGTCAGCGTTAGAGCACCGCAGGACAGCTCTGTCGACGGGGTGGTGGCCAAGCAATACGGTTGAGATTGGGGGTGATGTGTGAAATGTTTGCGGGTCACCATGAACTACAACTGCCGCTTCTCCTTCCTTATCTCGTCACATTGATTCACATTGTATGTTTCAACTCACGCCTGCACTTGGTTCCCCCGACGGAGTAGAAGCCATCCTCCTCGCGACAGCGGACCTGCCAGTGTTCAGACACAACACGACCAGAATGAAGGCCAGAACAGACTCGCAAAACGAGTTCACGCGGGTACGTTCTTGGCAGACGCGTAACCCACGTGACTCGACGCAGTTCATGCCATCATTGCTCACATACACAAACACACACACGCACGCACACACACACGTGTGCCAATAGAGGCAGGACGTACGTCGCACACGCGAACTTGAGGGGAAGTTGAGTCCGTGTTGTAAATGCCTGAAAGTTGAGTCATGTTGAAAGAAACGCTCTTATGAGCACAACACGCCAACGTTGGGTGTCGAAGCAGAGAAGGGCTGTGATCACAATCTGCAAACAGACGTATCACAGCAGCGCTACTCACGCACACACGCACACACACATGCACACACACACGCGCGCGCACACACACATGCACACACACATGCACGCACACACACACACTCACACACACACACGCACGCACACATGCACGTGAGCATAACACTGACCTGCAAAGACTGATCCCTCGGGTGCCAGGATGCTGTAACTGCCGGAAAGTGTATCACCAAGCGTGCAGTCAACAAGCTCTGCGCCAGCCAGCAGCGAGCAATCATACACGAGGGTTGACCCCTTCTTGGAGACGCCGCTAACGGCTAAGATTGAGGGTCGGGGTACAGCACATGTTCATGTCTCAGATGGGATGAATTGTGCATGATTTGCAAAGCCATCACGAAGCAGTGGCTGTTGTCCTTGGCTCAATCAAATACACACGCACGCCCACTTTCACACGCACCGACACACGAACGACGCACCATAGGTGTCGAAATCGCAGTACTGGGCCGTGTTGCCGCTCACGGTTAGTGTCTCTGCGGATGCGTAGATGCGCTTGGAAAGAGACGCTCCCGCGTCTTGGCACAGAATCTCGTACGTGTCTGTGCCTGCAGGCAAGCAACAATGGTGAGGGCATGATAGCATCACCAGCAGTGACAACGACAACGGTAATGGCAGATGCTAATACGCATGAGACTGACGGGTGCGAAACTAAATACGGATAAGTGCCAACGTGTAGTGCTGCAAACGATGAGATATAACTGCAACTGCAGGGCTCACCGGAGGTGTAGTAGAGGCCAGTGATGGCCTGACCGGCAGCACAGGCAATGGTGAAATTGGTCCCTCCATCACCCTCAATCGTTTCTGTACCAGAGAAGGAAAGGGAGTGCGACAGAGAGTGTGTGAATGTGTGTGTGTGTGTGAATGTGTGTGAGCGGTGTGACAACTCAACAACACACACGCGCGCTTCCTCAACCACACACACACACACATACACAAATATATACAGTGACTGCTGCGTACCCAAACATGTCTTCTCGTCGCCGTCCCAGTATGCCGTGTCTTCGTCTTGAATGCATGTGCGTGACGAGCTGCCGCCAATGCCAAACACAAAGCCGTCATCACAGCTATCGTAGACACAGACGTCGCCTGACGGGGAAAAACCAGCAACACCAACAACGTTTCACATGAGACAAGGTCTCGAGCAGCAACTCAGGATAGAAGATAAGGCCGTGCCTTCTACATCGTCATATGCACATGGCAGCCAAGCCTCCCCATCCCTTTCTTACCAACGGTGCCAGAGCAGGACCCAGACACGCTGCCGTATTCCAGCGTCAGCGTCGGGCACATCACCTCTGGCAGGCACGTGATAGCACGCAAGAGTAACAATGCATAGGAAATGTGCGAAACAGCATGAGTGCACAAACGACCACAACTGGATGCTTGGATGAGCACCTCGTCGCCAAACAAGCAGGCACACACACACACACACACACACACACACACACACACACACACACACCTGTGCATGTTGCGATGGTTGCATCCCAAGAGGCGGAGTGTCCGTCCGCATTGAGTACACATGTCGTGGTTGTGCTGCCAGATGATGATGGCCAATACCCGGTGTCGCAGGTGAAACTGCACTCGCCACCCACAGTGCCGTCGCAAGTGCCACTTGTTACACCATTCTGCACTTCGATGCTTGAGCACGTCACCACTGCAACCCAAATAGAGACGTCGTGGTGGTATTAGTAGTGACTATGGGGAGACACACATGGTGCTCATTCGTGACACGTTGGTGTCGTGGAGCAAGAATGACATGGCGCGCACAGACTGTGCAAACTGATCCCTTGCTCCCCGCACGCATATGCACACACACACACACATTTACATGCATCCCTCTCTCTCCGTCCATCTCTCACCTTCGCACTGCTTGGATGTGCCAGACCAGGCAGCGACGCCGTCCGTCACACCGCACGTGCGACGAGTGGAGCCGCCAGACGACAGCGCATATCCAGTGTCACATTCATCGTAGGTGCACGTGTCATCTGTCATGACATGAAGTGCATGATTGTGTAAGATTGTGTATGATTATGCAGGGCGGTATAGGACACGCATAGTATAACGTACATAACATTGTATGTTGCTCTCGGATCAGTCTGACAAGGCACGATTCCTTGTTGATTGTTTGCAGTTACAGGTTGCTCACCATAGTTGCCGCTGCATTCGCCAGTCGTCTGCCCGTTCGCCAGCACGATTTCGCCGCAGTCAACCGCTGGAGAATGCATCAAGTTGAACGCGAGTGATGCGATTACGCAGAGCAATGTGTTCCATGTGAGCGGATGGTGCAGAAGTACAGTTGCATCGTGCTCGTATCCGACTCCACCTACACCCGCCCGCTCATATTCACCCACACACAGTCTGCCTCCTTCACACACACACACACACACACACACACACACACACACACACACACACACACACACACACACACTCTCTCTCTCTCTCCCTCTCCCCCTCTCCCTTAACTGGTTGCGTACAATCTTACTAATGCATGTGCGCTCGGAGCCTGTCCACTCAGCCACAGCGAGCCCGTCAGAATCTGTTGTTTCTGTGCAGGTGCGAGTGAAACCGCCACTGGCCTCTGTTGGCGACAGCACAAAGCCGTCGTTGCAGCCCCGCTCGCATGTCGACCCTGCCAGCGATTGTCGATCCATGACACACGTGCATGTGAGGGGATGCAACAACATCACACTTTTGTGGCATCACCCATTCCAACGCTAACATTGCAGTGGAACACACACACACACACACATACCCACACGCACACACACGCGCGCGCAGTCACATACACACACAGAGCCATGGCCATTACATTGAATGATCACATTCACTCACCAAGCGTGCCCGTGCACGTGTCGCCCCGCCATCCATTCGTGGGAGCAGTCAATTCAGAGCATTCCAGGACTGTCACCGCAAATTCATGGGGCAAGTACGGTGTCGATGTGAAGAGAGCGTGTGAGTGACACAACAAACACAGAAGACAAAGACCGACGGGCAAGTGTAGGAACGAAGGAATGTCAATCCCACATAATCCTCCAAAGACACTGCATGCATTCATTTTAAAATCAAGCCACGCACGTTCACAGTAGGGTTCCGTTCCTGTCCAGCCGTCTGCGGTGCATTCGCGCGAGAAGGTGGTGCCGCGCAGGGCGTAACCAGAAGGGCAGGAGTAGTACGTGCACACGTCACCTGTGACGTGAATGAATATGCATGCATGCAAGCATGTGTGTGTGTGTGTGCGTGTAAGCGGAATCAGCGGCAGAAGACGTGACAGAGTGACACAGCAAGTCGATCTGTTTACGTGGGTGTGATGCAGGCAATCATAAGAGCGACGAAGGATGCTGGTGCGTCATCACCGTAATTGCCGCTGCAGCTGCCAATGAGGGTAATCTGTGAATGCGTCAGCCTGTTGCAAGTGATTGCTACAGTGGATGCAAGCCAACATTTCGCGCGACCGAGGGTGAGTAAAGATGCGTGTGTTTCAACAAAACAACATGGGCAACCAAACACAGCACACGCAGCATACTTCCACAAACGAGAACAAAAGTATGGTCTCACACACACAATCACACAGAACACACACACAACACATACTGTGCATTTGCCCAATGTTTCAAGCCCTCGTTGTAACTTACGTTCACATGTGATGTCTGCACCAGACCAGGCACCATCAGCGTCACACGTGCGCGTTGTCGCTGCGCTGCTGAATTCGTATCCGGTGTTGCAGCTCTCAAACGTGCATTCATCGCCTGCGACGTGCAAGCGGCCAAGCCAGGCGGACAAGCATGTGGATGACGTGTTATTCCTTGGACACAGCAGTTCGACTCATGGACCCGAACAAGAAGGGTTTCGCGCACCGACCTTCAAATCCGGTGCAATCACCCGAGATGGTGCCATGGGTGATCGTCAACTGAGGACACACAGGCTCTGTCGACATTGGACACAGCTATTCTAAGTGAGCCTGGGCGCGTCCACGGTGCTTGGAATGACGAATTACTCCGTTCCGCACAGAGGGCACCACAACATCACGCGCACAAAACCGCAGGCAAAGAACCACACGCACACAACGGCATGCACACACACGCACGCATACACAGACACACGCACGCATACACAGACACATGCACACAGACACACACGCATACAGCGCAAACGCACCGCTGCAATACCCGTCGCTGTTGAGCATGGTGCCATCGACGCATTGTGGCTGCGCAACGCATGCAAAAAGTACATGTGAATGACAATAACATGCACAAATCCACCATCATGATTGCGCATCAGCTGGTCAGCCAGCAGATCAGTTGAGCTTGACACTGGTCAGAGCAACGTGTGTCTTTGGCACCCACCTTGCACTCAGTAAAGGTCCACTCGCGGTCACTTGTGGAAGAATCAAATGTGGATGTCAAACCTGTGAATGAAAGCAGATGCACGAGACAGCAAGATGGTGAGCGAGCAGAGTACCATGCACGTATTCGACAGGTCGTGTGGGTGGTGGTGATGCTGCAACACCGAGCAGAGGCAGTACAGCCTCTCTCGACGACAGAGGAGGCGGGTAAACGAGGAAGCACACGAACTTGTGATGACATATGCGCCGGAGCTTGTTGAGAAGTCAAAGTCTGCGCCAGCAGCATTGACAGCCACAGCGCCGTTGCAATTCACGGCGGAGATCTCGGTGTTCTCATAGCCAGTGCACTGGAACGAGTACACGCGGTCTTGAAACGACGAAACATAGGCAGACTTCACGCCAGTGATGTCTGCAAACAGGATATGGAGCGCGAATTGAAGACAGAGATGAGAGAAATGCTGTGGAGCGCCACAACACGTGAATGTGGACACACGTAGAGCGTGCAAACAAGCAAATGCGTAAAGCAGGTACAATCACGCACACACACACTTGTGCAAGCTGCACCTGTCTTCCAGCAAAGCATGCAAGAGTCAGCGCCATGCATGCGTTGCACGGGTTTGTAACCCGACCGTGTCCCACGCTCGAGTCACAACTATCATCGCCCCCGGCTCCCCAATTGACTGACATGTGTTGCTTGGGCAGGAGACGGTGAACGCTGTCCCAAGCTTTCCATAGGCGGGAGTGGACCAGGTCTGGCTGGTGATAACCTGCCCACCGCTGGTTGGTTTCGTGCACGTGAAGGCCCAGCGACGGTCTGTGCTGCTAGCTGCAAACTGTGTCGAGATTGTCGTGATGGCGGTGGAGGTCTCGCAGTACGAGCCAAACGGTTCTTGGTAGTCAGCGACAAAGTTCCCGTTGGTGATGCCACTCGGGGACAGCGCTGCCAAGGAGAAAACGGGATGCACGGGGGAAGAAGTTGGACAAACACACACACACACACACACACACACACACACACACACACACACACACACACACACACACACACACACACACACACACACACGCACGCACACACACGCAGACAGACGCACACGTGTACATACACAATGGTAACAGTGAGAACAATCAAGAACCAAAAGGCTGGTGTAGTCGCGTGAAGTTGCTCCGCGGCAACATGACAGGAAGCTGCTGCACACATGGCCTTGTCACATGCCCATGCATTGGTACGGCCGACACACAGACAGACAGACAGACACACACACACACACACAATCACACATGCATGTGCGCGCGATGATATCTTTGCGCAGATTTTCATTCAATCTTACTGGTGCACACTCGGGGAACGTCGCTGTTGACGTAATCGCCAGTCAGGTCGCACTCCACTTCGCACGTGGTGATTTTCCAACGACGATCCCACTCACTAACACGCGCAATCGATAAGGGAGAAATGCGTGAGTCATGTGTGCAACGCATGCGCTGTACGAGCGACATGCGCTCGACACACGCGCACTACGCACAAGCATGTCTACACCGCGTACACGTACACACGAAAATGCACACACACGCACACACAGGAATACATGTTCTTACAAAACGGTGTCGGTGTATTTGCTGTACAAGCCAGTGATGATCTTGTTGGTGCCAGTGATGTCGTAGTCAAGGTTGCCCGTCCTCGAGTTTTCATAAGACGCTGTGTTGACAAGCAGGTGCGATTGTCATGTAAGGACGTGTGTGTATGTGTGCGTGCGTTTGTGGATGCGTGTGTGTGTGTGCGTGTGTGAAGGTGTGTATGTGTGCGTGCGTGTGTGGAGGTGTGTATGTGTGCGTGTGGATATGTGCGTGCGTTTGTGGAGATGTGGATGCGTGTATGTGTGCTTGTATGTATGTGTGTGTAAATCGCACTGAAACCCCGTTCACTATGCAACAGCCAACTTGTTTCAAGCACCCCTCTTATGACAAACGATACAGGCATCAAAAGTGACACAAGGCGAATTGCATGAAGCGCACATGTTTGTGCACAGTTGAGCAGTTGAACGTTGTTCGGTCGACGGCAGGTGTACTTCCACAAGCGGTCCACACTGCTGTATGTCGATTCAAGCTTCTCCATGTCTGAGTGCGCACAGATTACGATATTGGGTGAGCGTTGAATGCACACAATACCACGAGAGTGCAAGGAAATGAGGGGGCAGGATGGGATCGGGCACAAGAGAGCTCACGTTCCTTGCTCTCAAACAGACACGCACTTACAGTAGCCGCTTGCACAGTCGTAGTTGTTGTTGCTGTAAAGGTCGCGAACGTCGTAACCACCACTGCTCTGCGTGTCGCTGGAGGCGGTGCCAATCGGGGCACAGCTGAAGTCCCAACGGCGATCATACTTGTTGTCGCTGTATTTGCTGGTCATGTAGGTGAGGCCTTCTCCCGTATCGCAGCGGAAGTACACGTCCTCCAGCTGTGTGGTGATGTTGCACAGTTGCATGTTCACAAGCTCAGTGTGTGTGTGTATGTGTGTGTGTTGTGGAAGAAGATCGCCACCACATAAACAGTCACAATGCACAGAAAGGAAACCAACAATCGCGGAAAGGGAAGAGCTGCCGCCCTGCTGTCACTCACATATTCGTTGACGTATGCTTCGGCTGGCTGCATGTAGATGAGTGCGGCAATGAGCAGCGTTGCAGCCACAGTCGACATGGCCGAAGCACTGCCGCGGTTGAGCATGACTGAGACTGACGTTGTTGTCATCCCACTCTTCTCACCCTGAATAATGGGCTGCGAAGCAATCAAAGGTGCGGAGGGCAGGGGAAGACAGTGTGTGCTTCCTGTGTTTTGCCTGCAGGCAACACCAAGACCAGGTGCTGCTGTTGTGGCGTGCTGCCTGGTGCGAGTGTATGCGTGTCTGTGGATGTGGATGTGGCGGAGAAAATGCAAGTGGCTCGTTTGTTAGCTGCTGCATGTGGGCTATTGTATTGTGTGCTCGTGTTGGCTTTGCTTGGTGGTTGGATGGTCATAAGGCGTTGTCTCACCAATTAATACATATATCCCCTGTCTCCTTCGCCTCATCATGGGTTCACACACGAAACGCACCGAAACGATGCAACGATCTCGCCACCGTACTCGCTTGCTTGCTGGCCAACTGACGGTCGGACGGTGCTTAGTTGCTTGAGAATGGGAGATTTCTGACGACGATGGGGGTGCCACTGCTGTGCTTGTGTTCGTTGTCAAGAATCTGGGGGGGGGGGGGAGGGACAGGATGAGCGACACCAACCGTTAGTAGGCCGTTGCACATGTGTTACATTTCATTTGTGTGACGGTAACATAACCGTTTGTGCTTTCGCTGGCTCCGACCGTCGTCGCTTTTTCCTCACAACAACCTGATGTGACATAACTGAGCGTCGTCATTTTGTTCCCTCTCTCGTTGCTCGGCGAACACCGGAAAGGCCGTCCCAACCATCAAGCGGGAGAAGGCAGTGGCAGCGCGCCTGAACGTTGGTGGTCTGCTGGCTTGGTCGGCGGTGTTGGGATGGCGTGCAGAACACATCCAAAATGTGGCGAAGCTGAAAGTCAGCTTTATCTTGGAAGAATTTTTCGTCAGTTCCGGCCACGTTCGAGTTGTGTGCCAACTTGCGCATCACGAAATACACATCCGTAACCGTCGTCATGAAAGGCTCAAGGCTGCAGTTTGGACACCCAACACAGCACCCAACAGAGTGCCCACTGGCTGGCACACTACAAGGTAGAGGGAGGTTTTCTCTGCTTGTGTGTGGTTGCTGACTTTGTTGGCAACGGTTCGTGTGCTTGGTGGTTGTGGAAGCTGACCTGGTGTCACAAAGCAAACAGCAGCAGCAAGGAGGAGCAGAACCACCAGTTGCAACCTGCTCACAACGACCCACAGCAGCACAGCTTGGTCATTTTCTTCTTCTTTGCAGCACAGCTTCCTGCTCGCTCCAAGTTCTGCCAAGACTAAGACGCACCAGAGGCCAACACACAAACACTGCAAACCGCACGCCTCCTCCCTCCTTGCCTGCAGGCACGATGTTGGTGCGTGTGCTTGCAGTTGTGGTCGCCTGTGTGGTGTCTACCACCCTCGCAGAGCTGCCGTTTGTGAACGAGTATCATGAGACACTGAACATGGAGTGCTCTGGCAGCACTGGCATCAAATCCCTCTACTCCACCCACCAAGACAACAAGGTGAGTCTGGGATGGAAGGATGGGAGCAGTCTTGCAGTCTTGCTTGTGTAGGTGAATCGTGCTGTTGCTGTTGATGCGGCTGTTGGTGCTGTTGTTGCTGCTGCGTGTTATCCATTTGCTCAACGCATGTACTACCTGGTCTACAAACCCTCACGACACGCCCTCTGCTCACTCACGTCGTGTGCGATTTGTTCTGTTTCGCTTCCGCTCTGATTGCGGCATGCAGAAAGATCGGCGGTGGGGCTTTGAATGCCTCAAGTACGGCGCACCGGAGGAAGGCACAAGCATGTACAGCAGCAGCTTCGAGAACAACTACGATGACCCGCTCGACTACTCGTGCCCGAACAACTACTGTATGTCATGGGAGATTCTCGGCCTGTTGTGAGCGCCTGCTCTGTTGTGTCTGCCTGCAATTGCTTGTGGTTGCCGAGCTAAGCGCAATGTAGTGGCACCAGCAATCTGCTGCCGACTCAGCGGCTTCCTCTTTGCACAGGTTGCCCTTACTCTGCCTTCTGTCTTGGTTGGTCGTTACCACATTCACTCACACACACAACCACAATCACTCCGTGTCGCATTCTCCATCCCACAGACGTGTACCGCATGTACTCTGAGTACGACGGCAACCCTGATGATCGCGTGTGGAAGATTGGCTGCCGCAAGGCCGTCGGTGCCACCCTGTCCTCATGCAGCTTCACTGACGACTACATCAACAGCTGGGGCAAGCCCATCGACTACTCTGTCGACAGTCGCAAAGTCCTTGCAGGCACGTTGCTCGGAGACGACTCTCTGTGCTGACTGATGAGATGCAAGGCTGGGAAGCTGCGCAGTCTGGTGCCTTGAGGGCTACTTGTTGCTTTTGTTGTCGAATGGGTGAACTATGCGGTGATACATGCGTCAACAAACGCCTTTGCGTTCACATTTGCATCCTCACATTCTGGTACCTCAATTCGCATTCTTCTGATCCCCCTCACACACACGCACACTTCACAGGACTGTACTCTGTCCACAATGATCGAGATGAGGACCGAAGGTGGCGCATTCGTACGTGCACGTTGGATTGCGACGAAAGCAGCGGCTACATCGAGGATGACACGAGCGACTGGGGATGCACAGGTGAGCCCAAACAGCACGTGCACACGTGCCTTGAGCCCTATGCCCGCTGTTGCTGCACTGCAGCGCCGCTCGCATCTCTGTGTGCTACGCACGCGCTTGGAACACAGAGAAGTCACATCACCAAACCTGTCGCACACACGCACACGCACACACACGCACATATGCCTCTTTGGTTTGATAATCATCCATCGTTGTGTTCTTTATCTTCTTCGCAGTTGTGACCTGTCCCCCGCTCACACTCACGAATGGTGTTCTGAGCGGCAGCTGTGACGGCGACTTTGGTGAGTGAGCAGTCACAAAGACAGTGATGCGTGCATGCATGCTATGCTGGTTAACGATATGGTGGTGCCTGATGCGGTCCTGGCTGCATGCGCAGAATGTCTCCTCCAATCCATCCAAGCACACTGCTGTGTTGCCTTGAGTCTTGCCACTTGTTGCATTTGAACACCAATATCTTCAGCCTCACCTCACGCTACACGTGTTGTTGCCGTCGTTGCATCATACAGGCGATCAGTGCAGCTTCAGCGCGTGCAACAGCGGCTACGAGGTGTCAGCTTCCGGCACCAAGGGCGCACGCCAGTGCGGCATTGTCAGCAAAAATGGCGTCTGGAGTGGTTCCGCCCCAACTTGTGACGGTGTGTGCGTGTGTGTGTGTATGTGTGTATGTGTATGTGTGTGTGTGTGTGTTTCGGTGTGTGTTTCTGTGTGTGTTTCGGTGTGTGTTTCTGTGTGTGTTTCTGTGTGTTGTGCCTAACATATGCACCCACCATCTCGAATTGGGACCTTGGACCTTGTTGCCGCTGTATTACTCATCATCCACCTCTGTGTGTGCTGTGTGTTTGCATCAATCACTCCAAATACAGACATCAACGAGTGTGTGACAGGTGCTCACGAGTGCGTTGCGCCGGCCGTGTGTGTCAACGACGATGGCTCATACCACTGCGAGTGCGACTACGGTCCCCTCTCATCAGATGGCAAAAGCTGCGATTGTGAGTGCAGGTTTCGCAAGAACGTGTGAGTGTGTGTGTGTGTGTGTGTGTGTGCGTGTGCGTGTGCGTGCGTGTGTGTGCGTGTGTGCGTGTGAACGTGAGACTACGTGTTTGTACGTGTTACATGTGAGTTGAGTTGTTTCTGACTTTCACCCGCTCCTGTCATATCATATCGCGCCCCCTGTCACCATTGCTGATACTCTCAGTGGCGGGACCAAAAGCAACGTACACGCTCAACTCCCACAGCTTTGAACTAGCGATCACGGACGCCGATGAGTTTCCCACTTACGAGGTGCATACGGTGTTGCATTGCTCTTGTGTCACTGTTGCATTAGTGTCGCGTCATCATACACAGTGCATCACGACAACACACACATGCATAGTACATCACGACAATACGCACCCGCACAACAACACACACACACACACACACACACACATATGCACATACACACATGCACACACACGCACACATCGTGACTCACGGATGGTTTTCCGGTGTACCTCGCCTCTCTCGCAGGTGACGGTGGCTCAATGGTCACTCGATCTGTCGCAGGCAACAGAGCTGCCAGGCTACCCGGTCCAGTACACGTCGCCCCTCACCAATTTTGAAGCTTCAGACCTACAGCCTGGTCGCCGGTTCCAAGTCACCATCACCCCGTACGACAGCGACGACGCAGCAGCGACAGACTACGTGTTTGTTGGCGGCACGTCCGCGGGTGATCTTCGAACGACGTGCGGATGCCTTTCCGGTGACACAACCGGCGCCCCATCGAGCCTTGAGCTCTCGCAAGAACGCGGCATTGTCGAGTTTACGTTCACAGAACGCGGCCTTGTCGAGTTTACGTTCACAGACCAGAGCTACTGCGAGTCCGGCTTCAACTTCTTCAGTGCGGCACAACCCACAACCCACAGCTGGTGTACGACGACCTCACCTTGCAGAAGGAGGGTGCGTTTAGGTGTGGTGTGCACGTACGTGTACTTGTATGAAAGTGTATTTGTGTGTGTGTGTGCGTGTACTTGTATGAACGTATTCTTGTATGATGTGTGTGTGTGTGTGCGTGCGTGTGTGTGTGCGTGTACTTGTATGAACGTATGCTTAGACGATGTGTGTGTGTGCGTGCATTGTGCACTGTATGCATTCATGTTCACCAATTCTGTCGTTGGATCGTTGTGCCGGCACGTGCACACGCCTTACGCTTCTTTCCGTACTCACACCCCTGTCTTTCACTTCTTCGAACTCCAACAGACATTTACAAGCCGCTGGATGAAGGCACAAACCACGACCTGCCGGAAGGTGAGGCCTTGTGTGCCTGCTATGCTTTTACCCCGTCTGACTTGATGAATGCGACGCGCTGGCATGTGAGTACACATGTCAGTGTGCATGCACGTGTGCAGTTACTTGCCTTTGGGAACACTCGAGCTCACCAGCACACTACCATCTGCGATGTCGATAACGCTGTGCTTGCTTCATAGGCACGTTCTTCTTACTGCTTCACACCGGTTCTTCGGAAGGCGACAAGCGGTTCGCCTTCCCATCGGAGCTGGCCATCGGTGCGTTCAAGTGTAATGGTTCACATCTTATGCGCGCGCACACACACACACAAACACACACACGCGCATGTACACACGCACGCACGCACGCACAAACACACACACACACACACACACTTCATGATCTCACACAACCACTCGTGTGTCTGCGTTCCGGTGGTTGCGCAGGTGAGCACTTTACGTCCACGTCCACGTCGTCTTCCACATCGCAGTCAACGTCAACGTCAACCTCCACTTCCACACAGACAACGACCACAACCACGACCACAACACAGGCAACAACGACGACGCTCAACCTCGCCACCCTCAACGACACGTTCATCGCGTCAACAACGAGCACGCTTCCTGCCACGACCACGACAACGGTGGCTGATGACTCTGACGCATCGGCAGACGCGGCAACTGCGCCGTCAACGGGGCGGGTGGAGCGTGTCTACCCGTCCGGCATTGAGTCGGCCGTGACCAGCAAGCAGGAGTGCTTTGACCTCTGCGAGGACCGAAGCGAGTGGTGCATTGCGTTTGTGGTGCAGGAAGATCTGAGCGGTCAGCTGTGGTGCCACCAACTGAAGCTAATCCGCACCACCAAGCTCGACGGCAACGACGTGTCGGCAGATTCGTACGAGCGCGTGACTGTGAGCGACACGGGAGTGAGTGGCAGCTATTTGCTCGCCACAGGCATTGACGCGTGCACGGAGCTGTGCTCTGAGTCCTCTTCCTGCGAGATTGTGTTTGCTGGCGACGGGTTTTGTGCCATGGCAAACACCATGCAGACGACATCTGTGAGCCCTAGCTCGTATCATGAGAGCCTCATCATTCGCTCCCAGAAGCACCGCTATGTTGGGTCTGCGCCTGGCTCGTACAAGCAATACTGCGTTGCAGCCACCAATCCCATCGATTACACCGCTCTCGGCTACTACTCCACACGCACCTGCGCAGACCTTCAGATTGAGGTGAGTGAGAGAGAGAGAGAGAGAGAGAGAGAGAGAGAGAGAGTGTGTGTGTGTGTGTGTGTGTGTGTGTGTGTGTGTGTGTGTGTGTGTGTGTGTGTGTGTTGGTTTGTTGTACGAGGGTGGGGCGGATTGCCCGGAAATGTGTCGTTTGAGCTGGTTGGTGCAAAACAAATGTCACCTTTCTGCACCGAACGACCAGCCCTCACGTTCTTTGCACACGTTTTGCTCACCCCTACACACACACACACACA